AAGACTGAATCAGGAAGAAATAGGAAATCTGAATAAACCAATACTGACCAAGGAGACTGAGTCACCAAAAACTCTCCCAACAAAGAAAAATCCAGGTACAGATGGTTCCACTGGTAATCCTACCAAACATTTGAAGAATTAGTGCCTGTCCATCCCAAACATTTCCAAAAACTGGAAGACGGGGAACACTCCCATATTCATTTTATGGGGCCAGTATTGCCCTGGTGCCAAAGCCAGATAAGGACACTAGAAGAAAAGAAAACTACAAGCCAATATCCCTGCTGAATATAGTGTAAACGTTCTCCATAAAAGACTAATAAGCTGAATCCAACTGCGCAATAAAGGATCACGCACCATGATGAAGTGGGATTCATCCCTGGGATGCAAAGGTGGCTTGACATTATGCAAATCAATAAATGTGATACACCACATCAACAGAATGAAAGATGAAAATTATGTGATCATCTCAATAGATGCAGAAAAAGCATTTGACAAAATTCAACATCTTTTCATGACAAAAACTCAACAAATTGGGTATAAAAGGAATGTATGTCAACATAATAAGGGCCATATGTGACAAACCAACAGCTAATATCATGGTCCGTGTGAAATATGGAAAGCTTTTACTCTTAATATCCAGAAACAAGACCAAGGCGCCCACTTTCTCACCAGTCCTATTCAGCATAGTTTTGTAAGTTCTAGCTAGAGCCACTGGGCCAGAAAAGCAAAAGACATACCAATCAGAAAGGGGGCGGTACTGCCTCTATTTGCAGATGACACGATCTTATATATAGAAAACCCTAACGGCACTACCCAAAAACTTTTATTTAGAACTAATGAATTCAGTAAAGTTTGCAGGAAACAAAATCAACACACACAAAGCAGATGCAGTTGTATACCTAACAACAACTATCTGAAAAAGAAGAAAAAAAAATCCCCTTTATAATAGCATAATAAATGATTAGGAATAAATTTAAAGAAGGTAAAGTAAAAACTGTAAGACTGATGAAAGATGAAGACACAAATAAATGGAAAGAAAGCCCACATATTCTTGGATTCAAATTATTATTGTCAAAATGTCTATCTTCTGCAAAGCAATCTATAGATTCAATGCAATCCCTATTAAAATTCCAATTAAATTTTCATAGAAAAACAATCCAAAAATTCATATGTAACCACAAAAGGTCCCAAGTAGTCAAAGCAATCTTGAGACAGAAGAACAAAATGGGAGTTATCGCACTTCCTGATTCCAAACTGTATTACAAAGTTGTAGAAACCAGAACAGTATGGCATTAGCATAAAAACAGACACATAGACCAATGGAAGATAATAAACCCATGCCTATACAGTCAACTAAAAATGGGAAAAGGACAGTCTCTTCAATAAATTATGTTTGGAAAAGTGGATATTCACATGCAAAAGAACAGACCCCTATCTTATACCACTCACAAAAATTAACTCAAAATGGCTTAAAGACTTAAATGTAAAACCTGATACCATGAAACTCCTAGAAGAAAGCATAGAGGAAAAGCTCCTTCATACGGGTCTTGGCAATGATTTTTTAGATACAAAAACCAAAAGCACAAGCAACAAAAGCAGACATCAACAGGCAGGCTGACATCCAAGCACAGTGTCCTGTGCTGCACAGGAAACCTACAAAATGAAGAGGGAGCCTGCAGAGTGGGAAAGAGTATGTGCAAGCCACATACCTGGTAAAGGGTTAATATCCAAAATACATAAAGAAGTCATGCTATTCAATAGCAAAAAAAATAATGCAATTAAAAAAATGGGCAAATGATCTGAGTAGATATTTTCCAAAGAAGACATACAGATGGCCAACGTGTATGTAGAATGGTGTTCAGCATCCTACTCATGGAAATGCAAATCACACCACAATGCGATGTACCTCACACCTGCTTGAATGGCTGTCATCACAAATATAAGAGTGACAAGTATTGCTGGGGATGCGGAGAAAGGGGATCCCTTGTGCACTGTTGGGGCAAATGTCAGCTGGTGCAGCCACTATGGAAAACAGAATGGAGGTTCTTCAGAAAGTTAAAAGTAGAGCTACCATATGATCCAGTAATTACATGTGTGGGTATTGATTGGAAGGACATGGAATCAGGAACTCAGATGTTTGCACCCCATGTGCATTGTATCACATCTTGTTCACAATAACCAAGACATGAACACATAAAGTGTCCCTTGGGGATGAATGGATAAAGGAAATGTGTACATACACAATGAAATATATGAGTACAGCCATAAAAAGGGAAATCCTGATGTATGTGACGTGAACATTGAGAGCATTATGCTAAGTGAAACAGAAAAAAGACAAGTACTGTATGAGATCACTTACATGTGGAATCTAAAAAAAAAGTCATAGAAAAAGTAGATTAGTGGTTGGCAGGGGCTTGGGGGTGGGGGAAATGTGGAGATTTGGGTCAAAAGTTGCTTTCTGGGGACATAATGCACAACATGCTGACTATAGTTAACACTATATTGTATACTTGATAGTTGCTGAGAGAGTAAATTTAAATTTTCTCAACACACTGGCAACAGGTAAGGTGATCTGTCAACTGAACTTAGTGGGAATCATTTCACAGTGTATACCTACCCATTCACCAAAATCATCACGTTGTACACCTTTAACTTACATGATGTTAATTGTCCATTATATCTCAATAAAGCTAAAAGAATTATACACTATGACCAAATAGAATTTATTCCAGGAATGCAATGTTGGTTCCATATCCAAAAATCAATGTAATACACATTAATAGAATCAGTAAAAATATCCCACATGTTCATCTCAATAGTCACACAAAAAACATCTGACAAAATCCAACACCCTTTCATGGGGAAAACACTTAGCAAAATAGGAATAGAAGGGAACTCTCCTAATCTGATTAATATGAAAAGCCCACATTTAACATCATACTCTGGTGAAAGACTGGGTGCTTTTCTCCTAAGAGCAGAAATGAGACAAAGATTTGTCTACTTCTAGTCAACACTGTACTGGGGGGTTCTGGCCAGGGCAGTTACGTAAGAAGAAATAAAAGGCTCCCAGATTGAGAACAGAGCACAACCATCTATAGCACTGATGTCATGATGTTATGTATAGAAATACCTAAAGACTCCACTAAAAAACTGTTAGAATTAATGTGCTCAGCAAGGTTGCAGGAAACAAGCCCAGCATAGAACCCCTCATCTTTCTCTCCCACTCCACATCCCATCTCTCAGGGGATGGTCTCCCTGCTTCTTGCCCTTGCCACCATGTGTTCTTTGCCCAGGAAGCAGAGAGATCCCTCTGGAAGGCCAGCACATCATTCCTGCCTGCGCTCAGTCCCTGTGGCTTCTCGTCTCAGAGAAGAGGTCAAGTTCTTGCTGTGCAAGATCTGCCTCCACCTCCCCTCCCCTCCCCACCCCCTTGCTCCTGGGACCCAGTGGCCTCCTCCTTCCGTACCAGGTGCTCCTCTGTCTCAAGGTTTCTGTACCTGCTGTGCCCCCTGCCCAGCCAGACACTGCTTCCCCAGATACACCGCAGCTTGCCCCTCACTTCCTCCAGGTCTTCCAAATGCTCCCTGCCCGTTTCCCATGACTGCCAGCCCCCAGCAGTCCTATTCGCCCACTGGGCACACAGTGCCATTGTCTTCACTAGACTTCAGCTCCTCGAGGGTGGGCAAAGGGGATCTGCATTTTGTTGTCTGCTGTCAGCCCGAGCAAGGCCCTTGGCTGCACAGTGAATGACCGGCTGGGTCCTCTGAGCTTACATCACTTTATTAATTATTCTCTCCTTTATTTTTTAAATTAAGCTATCATTGATATATTCTTACGAAGGTTTCACATGAAAAACATTGTGGTTACTATATTCACCCTTTTTATCAAGTCCGCCCCCCACCCCATTGAAGTCACTGTCCATCAGAGCTTACATCACTTGATGTGGCTCTTTCCGGCTGAGGATGGCCCAGTGGAGCGGAGGCTGCGAGGCGTGGCGGCCTTCACTCCCCAGACACCTTATTCATGCTTTCCTCAAGGCCTTGGGTTTCTGGACCCCAGCGGATGGCACGGCGGCCAGTAGCCTTCTGTTTGGCTGTTAGGTCCTCAGATAAGCACGACATAAGTCGTTTCACGGTGTTACAATCATTAACCCAACACAGGCCCTTTGACGCTGACTTTATTAGGATGAGGCCAGTCTCTACTAGGGCATGTGCCCGAGCCCTCTACCTATGGCAACACTTGGTGAGGACGCCCACCTTCCCGATGCCGTGCCCTGGGGCCCATGGCTGGTACCCACGTGGGGCACCCCAGTCACAGCTCGCTCCTGGGCAGGCTCTGCGAACGCCCAGGCTCCAAGCTTTGCGAGGTGGCGGGGCCGGGCCTGCTCCGGGACCCCGGCTGCAGCGCCGCGGGCAGGTAGGCAGGTATTCCGTTGGCTGCTCCCTGGACAGGGTCCGCGGGCTCGGCGCCCCGCTAGGGTGGGAGGCGCGCCCAGTGCTACGCTGGGAGTGGGGGTCCCTAGGCACCGTGGGCAGTTACGGAGGGGCGGTCTCCGTAATCCCATAACGGCTCCGAGGGCAGGGAGGGCGTCCCAGGGCTGTTCTGCGGGGGCGGGGACGGCCGGGCTCCGGGCGCCCCTTCCGCCCCGTCCGCCGAGCGGTCGCCTTCCGGAGGCGGCGGCCGGCCAGCACGGACCCCCAGGGGCGCAGCGGCCTCCGCGAGGGGCTCGGCCCGATTCGCCGCGGCGGGGCCTCAGGTGCGGAGGACGCGGGACGCGGAGAAGGAGGGGCAGCCCAGAGAGACGGCTGCGGCGAGCCCTGCCGAGCCCTTCCGTCGACACCACTTGCTCCGCGCGACCCCTCGCCCGGCGCCGCGGGGAGGAAAGGGACGAACGTGAGCCGGGGGCGGGGCGGCGGGCCTCACGCACTGCGCCTGCGGGAGGGGGCGGGGCGGCGGGCCGCGAGCTCTGCGCCTGCGGGAGGGGCGGGGCGAGCGCGGGCCGGGGGCGGGGCGGCGGGCCGCAATCTCTGCGCCTGCGCAGGGCTCAGCCGTGCGCGCGCTCCCGTCGGTTGGCTGCCTGCTCAGCGGCCGTCGCCTCCGCCGCCGCCGCCCCCGCGCCCGCCCGCGCCTCCTTCGCCGCCCCCGCCCCCCCCCGTGCCCGCGCCCCCGCCTCGCCGCCTCCGGGCCTCGGCCCGGCCTCCCGGTCCGGCCCCGCAGCATGCAGCCGCAGCACCTGCGGCGGCGGTCACGGCGGCGGCTCTGAGGTGAGGTGGGGCCGGCGCGGGCGGCCTCCGGGCGGGGGTCCTGGCGTCGCGGCCCACGCGGTCCCGGCGCGGTGAGGGGCGCGGCGCCTTTGTTGCGGCGCGCCCGGCGCCGCCCGCGCTGCAGCGGCCTTTTCGTGTGCAGATGGTGGACGCGGGCGGCTGCGCGGCCGGGGAGGGCTGGCGGAGGATGGAGGCCGCGCCCGACGGCGCCCTGGATGTGGTGCCGCTGGACCGCTACGACCCCGCGCGGGCCAAGATCGCCGCCAACCTGCAGTGGATCTGCGCGAAGGCCTACGGCATAGGTGGGCCCGCGGGGCCCGGGGGCGGGGGCGGGCGGCCCGTAGGTGCGGGAGGAGGGCTTGCGCGGCTGCCGTGGAGTTGGCGCTGCACGGAGGGCGCGAGGCAGGGGGAGCCCCCGCGGCCACGCTCCCGCGGTTCTCGGCGAGCGGCGGCTGTGGATCGCCCCACGAGAAACCGCTGTGAATGGGTCGCGCTCATTCCGGATCCTTACCTTCGGTTCGTACCTGTTCCTGTTACCGAGTCTCGTTTGTCCGGCCTCTTGCGCTTGCTGGACGAAGACTCCCATTTCCACTCCGGGATTTTCCATACCGAGTGATTCTCGTAATCGCTGGGCTCTTTATTAATTTCAGGTGCTTTGTTTTCGGTGCCAAATTAAGAATGAGCGCTGTGTGTTCTTCTTTCTTTTGATCTGAAGCATTAAAAAAGTATTGCCGTTGCCGTGGTGAAGGCATTCGCGTTTCCAGCGCGAGGCTGAGCGGAGCCGTACAGGGAGGCGCTGGGGAGAGCAGGTCGCGAGCCCGCTGAGCAGGCCCTTCCCTGGGTGGGTCCCGCCCTCCGGGAGCGGGCGGCCGGGCGGCCGTGGAAGTTGGTCGTGCGGTGTGCAAGGAGAGTGTTTTATTTCACAGCTGGCGGTTTTGGAATTCTTGTTCGTAGCTCCGTTGAACTTGATTCGGCTTCTGGGCAGTATGATGGGGAAACACTGCCGCATGCATACATGGATTTATGTGATTGCTGGGAAAACACAGATTTGGTGAAAAGTGTACGATATTAGAGTGATGTGTAAGGAGTCACAGCTGAGCGGCCACTGGAAAGTGTAAGCAGCTGCTGTGTCCTCCACTTCTGCCGTCTTCCCCGACACCCACCTGCGTCTTGCGCTGGCCTGGGTTTGGGGCTAACGTCACCAAATGGTGTCATTTAGAGATACAGGGACATCTTCTGGGACCGTTTCACATCGTGTTCTCAGATTCTCCCCACTCTTCCGCTCCCCTTTTCACTGCTGTGTAGTATTTCACTGGAGGTACTGGGTTCCCGTTGTCTTAAGCACTGTGGATTCTTGGGCAAGGGTTCAGGCCTGTGTGTCTATAAGATCTTCTGTGTGGAAATAGCTCAGGTTGTACTAATGAGTGCTGCACAGACACGGATACTCCTTAAAAACCCTCTTACTTGCTTTTCAGTTTCTTTAGCACAGTCAGTGCACTTTTGTCCAGTTGCTTTTAGCTTTGGCAATCAGCATGGCATTTGTCAGCTATTCAGAAATGAACATGCATCTCTCTCAGCCTTAATATTGGGTTAGTCTAGTTTATTTCCAGTACCAGATCGCTCTGTTAATACTTGTTGACTCATCAGATAATTAATTCTGAAGCTGGTGTTAAAATAGGCTTTAAAGTTTTGAAATTATTAAAGGCGGGTATTTATAGAACAGAGCAGGAGCAGGCGCTGAGGAAGACTAGATTCTGCCTGAGGGATCTAAGAGTGGATTGCACGTGGCCTGTTGGTCACGACCCCTTGGCTGCCCTGTATTCATCAAACCCTGATTTTAGGAGGTCTGCTTTCCATTCAGTTTTGCTAAACGAGAAGACTTTTCTCATCTGTATCTTGGTTCAGGAAGGGGAGCAGATAACAGTGCTTCTTCTAATTTAGAGTCTCTCAAGTCACAAATTTGGGAGATCCCAATTCAGATGACCAAGATGACTCAACTCAGTTCAGATGAAGTTATTTCATCTGTGTCGCTGGAGTGAGGGTCACAGCCAGGGTGGGAGATCAGCCCTACCCAGTGCGGAGTCTGGTCTTCCAGGAGACTGGGTGGGGAGGGGATTTTGATAGGATGGTGTAGATTTCTTTCCCCCACCACTGTCTTCCTAATCCAGAGGCCTATTCTTTGTTTGGTGTCTGAGTCTGTGTTTTCAGTCAGTTAGGCATGGCCCCTTTTACTGCATATGGCACATCAGTTTTGGGAGTAAGATGGTGAAAATGGCCTGTTTCACTTGTACAGTTGTTCACCAGGTAGCTGAATGAAACGCAGCGACCTTCCCCTTTGTACAGGACCTGGAAGCATGCAGACTGCAGGGCTGAAGGGCTCAGAGGCTGCCTTTCACGTTTTTTCATTTATCTTTCTGCCATTTGTGGTAAATGGGGAGGCTTGGGAGAGCTCATCCTTGGCCAGGCCTCCTGGTGGCATATTGTTAATGCTCCCCAACTGTCCTCATCTCTGGTGCCGAAGCCAAGAACCAGGGGCTGTCTTGTACTTTAATTTTGGATTCTGTCCCATCTCTTTTGGTAAATCCTGTTTCATTGACGGTGTTTTAATTGATTTTTATAAATAATACACTGGATATGTTGAAAATTATCCATTTACAAGTGGCTGTAAGGAGCTGAACCTGATTGGCTGGAATATTTTGTGATGTCCTTTAGGGTGAAAGTTGTAATAAATTGGCTAGAAAATTTAAAGGTGTGACTTGAAGTGCCATTTATTTTGCAGAATAGAGCACTGGACTGGGGCTACTGCATTCCCGGCTTTTGGTTTTAGTCTAAGACCTGAGGAAACTTAAAAGGTGTCTAGGCCTTGGTTTCTGGGGAAATGGCAGAGTAAGAGCTTTTGTTATCTCTCAAGGACAGTGTTGAAAAAATAAAAAGCCTAGGGAAGGTACTAGAAGGCACTTGGTTATTTGCAAGTGTGTTGCTATGTAGTACAGTGGTGATTTCACCCTCTGAGGAGCCTTGGAAACCAAATTGAGACTCACTGCAACTCAGACTCACCATGGAGCTGAGCTGCCTAACTTGGCGGGACCATAGGGGTCACCAAAGTCAAACTTCTCTTTTTACCAACAGCAAACTGGGATTGAGCAAGGCCACCGGGCTGTCCAGAATCCACTGCTAGTGAGGGATTGACATTCTCCTCCTCTCTCAGAGTAATTCAGTTACTGATTTGGAAACATTGCTGTGGAATGGGAAATCCGTGCACCAATGTTTTGGACTGTACAGCCATTGATGGGGTAACTGTAATTGAGCTTCTGCCAGCAGTCTTATTACATGTGTATATAAACCACAGAATAGTTTGAACTCTGTTTGCTTAATTGACGTTAGGAGCAAAATCCCTTGGTTGTCAACTCCAGGGGATCACCATGTTGCTTTGTTCTACTGACATTTGGTTAAAATGATCTAGAGCTTGGAACCCCTCTGCCCCAGAACTAGAAATGAAACCCCGCTGTGCTCTTGTCCCTGGGTTAGGGGGAGAGCAGCTGTTGCGTGAGTCCTTAGTGGGGAGCTCCTCATTCATAAGCATATTGTCAAGGTTTTTACCTGGTGATACGTTCAGATTACTGGTTTATGAGTTTTGTGTTTTAATTGATTTTTATAAATAATACACTGGATATGTTGAAAATTATCCATTTACAAGTGGCTGTAAGGAGCTGAACCTGATTGGCTGGAATATTTTGTGATGTCCTTTAGGGTGAAAGTTGTAATAAATTGGCTAGAAAATTTAAAGGTGTGACTTGAAGTGCCATTTATTTTGCAGAATAGAGCACTGGACTGGGGCTACTGCATTCCCGGCTTTTGGTTTTAGTCTAAGACCTGAGGAAACTTAAAAGGTGTCTAGGCCTTGGTTTCTGGGGAAATGGCAGAGTAAGAGCTTTTGTTATCTCTCAAGGACAGTGTTGAAAAAATAAAAAGCCTAGGGAAGGTACTAGAAGGCACTTGGTTATTTGCAAGTGTGTTGCTATGTAGTACAGTGGTGATTTCACCCTCTGAGGAGCCTTGGAAACCAAATTGAGACTCACTGCAACTCAGACTCACCATGGAGCTGAGCTGCCTAACTTGGCGGGACCATAGGGGTCACCAAAGTCAAACTTCTCTTTTTACCAACAGCAAACTGGGATTGAGCAAGGCCACCGGGCTGTCCAGAATCCACTGCTAGTGAGGGATTGACATTCTCCTCCTCTCTCAGAGTAATTCAGTTACTGATTTGGAAACATTGCTGTGGAATGGGAAATCCGTGCACCAATGTTTTGGACTGTACAGCCATTGATGGGGTAACTGTAATTGAGCTTCTGCCAGCAGTCTTATTACATGTGTATATAAACCACAGAATAGTTTGAACTCTGTTTGCTTAATTGACGTTAGGAGCAAAATCCCTTGGTTGTCAACTCCAGGGGATCACCATGTTGCTTTGTTCTACTGACATTTGGTTAAAATGATCTAGAGCTTGGAACCCCTCTGCCCCAGAACTAGAAATGAAACCCGGCTGTGCTCTTGTCCCTGGGTTAGGGGGAGAGCAGCTGTTGCGTGAGTCCTTAGTGGGGAGCTCCTCATTCATAAGCATATTGTCAAGGTTTTTACCTGGTGATACGTTCAGATTACTGGTTTATGAGTTTAGATTGCATTTTTTAATAGTTTTTTGTTCTTAGTGAGGGATTTGGGTGCCTCTGGGATGGCAGATTACAGGGCACCCTAGGTACTTGTGCTGGGGGGGACCAGATACTGTGGGGGTGCCGGTGGTCTTCCCTGTGCTTAGATGACTGAAAACCACCTGATGTCTCTGAGGTCAGGGGTTATGCTTTTGTCCTGTCTACTGCCATTTCTGTAAGACAGACAGCACTCAGCCACTGTCAAATGGGTAAAAAGAGTTGGAAATGCTCTTCTTTGAAACAGGTGGAATAGGAAGAGGTGTTTTCTGACTCCATCTTGGTGGCCTTACATGGATGGATTTATTTAAAGATATCCAGTGCCTGTGCTCTCTTTCCTGTCCTGATTCTGTAAGTTACATATCAATCAAATAACATAAATCCATCCTTGACTTCCAACTGTCCTAATCCTTTAAATTTGAGCAACCCTCAAAAGGGTCAGCTACTGTTGTGCTTCAAGATGTTAACTTTGTACATGTTCTTTCAAAAAGCCCTCAACCTTTTCTTCTTTGTATTACATTTATCTTAATAGTTTGTGAGCTTCTCTTGTGATTGGTATTTTTGTGTGGCCATATCCCATTATATAAACCAGTGCTCTT